CACACTTCTGTGGGACACGTCACCGCATGCCTGCACGCCAAGATTGGGAGGTGCGACCGTACAAACAGTGACCAATCATTAACCTCTATTTGTTTAACCTAATCCGCCATCCTGATCATGATTAATCTTCCTGCTTGTACACTTTATCCGCAATATCCGTACTGAATAAACGTGCTCCGTGCTACACGTCTGTTTTCTTCATAGCTGGGCTATAGCTTAGCTAGTTCTGGGAGTCTAGCTAGATGTTGGAGAATCTACCATAGAGATTTCTGAGTCGGTCAGGCTTTACTAGCGTAGCAATCCGCTACACTACTGCGAGGTTAAGTAGGTAAATAATTCGTAATAAACAATTGGATATCAGTTTTGTAGATTTCGATATGGGCGGGGATGCGATCTTGTGAATTTCTCATTTCAAAATAATTTATTCAAGATAAAAGTAAAGAAGACTTTACTAGCTTTTAGACATTTCCCAACTCAAGTTCTTAATAAACGAATGTTGGCGGTTTTTTAATGATTTCTATTCAAAGTTGAAATTCACTTAGATTACCCTAGTTTAAATATAGATTCTCAGCAACTTCAGGTTCTCCTTCATTAAAGCTAAATATTACAGTTCAAGAGCAATTTCTGAGTTGTTAAACATTAGTTACTTTTGTTAGCTTCAAGTAACTAATTACATTCCAGCGAATAATTTATTATGCTATTACCCTCACACTGTGGTCAATGCTTTTGTATTAGAAAAGTAGAGAGTTCAAATAAGCGAATTTTTTACTATAAAAGTATAATTGAAATTACTGACTTAATATTGCAAAAATGTCCAAAAAGGCAGCTTGCCAATCACCTTTTTAGATCAATTACGCATTGTCCAATCAACATGTGTCCACAGGCCACCAATCCTATGACTCCACCGACCTAATAAGTAGAACGCCATTTTCGGCATAACCCATTTTACAAGCCATGTCTACACCTCTCACACCCCAAATGGAAGAACTTCGTAAGGCAGCTCTGGCTGTTCTGAAAAATACGTATAGTTCTTACAGCGGTTTCCCAGTAGGAGCAGCTTTAATGGACACTAATGGACGAGTGTTCACCGGAGTCAATGTGGAAATCGCCTCGTTTCCGTGCGGATGGTGTGCTGAAGTTAGTGTATTTGGAGCCGCAATTACTGCAGGCTCTACGGAGTTTACTGGAATGGCTGTTGCCGTGGACAGAGATATGTTCTCAACGCCTTGCGGTCGTTGTAGGCAGGTTATCACGGAGTTCTGCTACGGAAAGAATATGCCCCTTCTATTGGTCAATAAGAAGGGAGAATATCAAATGACGAAAATTGAAGATATTCATAAAATGGCATTCTTTAAAAGCAATATGGATAGTAATTGACAGCTGTTACTTCCGTGGCGTTAAAATGCAAATACTTTATTTATCTTTTACACGTCTTTTGTCAAGCTTGTACACAGGCGTGGCTATTTATTTCAGATTGCTAATATTAAAGTAGACTAATGCTTATTTAGACTATCATCAGCATTCTGCAAGAAATATTATTCGATTTTTATTCGCTAAACGTATAAAGGCACCTATTTATTTATTGGGTATCAGTTGGTCTCCATGAAAGCAATCATTATCGCAATGGTTTTAAGTATTATTAGGTGGATAAATTGGCCTAGATTTTGTTTTAAGTCTCTGCCATGGTAGAAAATCGATTCAGAGTTTGCCAATTTGCCATTTATAAGTAGAACGAATGCAATTATTTCGTAAATGTGCTTTAAAGTGAAAGAAACATGCGTTTCAAATTCGAAATATGTTTAGTTAAGACGGTGAAACTCACGATAAATATCTAAGGTGTTTAACAACTCGGAAAATCAAATGATCTTCAAAATTAGAAGGCTAATAGACTCAATTCGAGAAAATACCGAAGATAATATGGGAAAGGGTGTTACTTTCACTAAAATGAAGTGTTCGTAAAAGAGTCAAGAAATTTGGCGAAGGTGAGGAAGACAAGGAAATGATTTAGAGTCACCATCTCTCCCATAGTTGCGCCTAGTTAGTAAATGAAAGTACAGGTTTATTTTAGGCCGATTGACTTTTTGCCTAATGTTCACAATAGATGTGAAAATTTTTCCTAAATTATCTATTACCTCCACAGTAACCAAGAGAACTAACATTGAAATAGAGCTCCTCTCCTTTCTTTCCTCAAAGTGACTACAAATTATTTTTTCCAATGGGTTGAAAGTTTCAAAATGATTTAATTTTAGTTGGATTAAGTCCCAATATGACTATTCTGCTATGCAGAAAATGTTTAAAGTTGAAAGAACGATCTCTATATAGCCTAGGTTGGATTTACTTTCAACATCAACTAGATTAACCTAAAAGGTCGATGTAACCACACTGTGCGGGTTAAAAATGATTTTAAAATGGAACTATGCGATCCGCGAGCCATTTAAAATGTGAAAAAGGATTTGATGGGCCATTCTTACAACTTAAGCTAGTAGCATCTCGAAAATTCAACTTGTTCGTGATTGGTTTTTAGAAAGAAATTTATTTATTTCAAAGGGGGGCTTTATGATACTTATCATTAGCCCTTTAGCCGACTTCGGGCTTCACGGAGGGGAGAAATATCAAAGTGGGGACAGTAGAGTGATTCACAGATGTAGAAGAGACAGGCAGACACAAAGGCAGAGAAAAGGTAAGATGAGCACTGTGAAAGTGGTAGAATATGACATACAGTGGGGGTGATGGCAGTTTGAAGTCAGAAGTTAACTGTCAGTTTATGGACTTTTTTGCCGTATGAGAATATGTTGCCCAGGGGCACCACGTGGAGGTATGTCTATCGCTCCCTCCTTTAAGAAAGAAATAAGGAACCGATGTCCGGTCTATTTTGGAGATCAATTTTCCACTTAAATCATCTTTATGCATTGCCAATATTACTATGTTCGACTAAGTATATTATGAATATATGACAGTTAGCGACAGTTAGCCATAATCTGAAAATTCTCAGGAAGTTGTTCGTTTATATTCATATGTTGTAAATGTTTGAACCATGGGGTGTGCGATAAACTTACCTCCACGTGGTGCACCCTGGGCAACGTATACTCATACGGCAAAAAAGTATATAAACCGGCAGTTGATTTCTGACTTCAAACTACCATCACCCCACTGTATGTCATATTCGACCACTCACAGTACTCACCTCACCTTTATTCTACCTTTTCTACCTTCGTCTTTGAAACACCCTTTTGTTCCCCCCCCTCTCGACTTTTTTTCACTTTGATGTTCCTTCTCCTCTGTGAAGCCTGAAGTCAACTAATGAGCTAACGATAACCATCAAAACGCCTGCCATTTGATATAGTAATAATAATGTTTGAACCATTGCCTAAAAATAGTGCAGAACATCAATTGACTTTCAGGGTTAATACCAACTGAATCAAATCATATTTGATTTAATATGAAGTCACATCAGACCAATCCAATGATTAACTCACTTCATTACCACATACGTTGAGGAGTGGGGTGTGGGATAGACTTACCTCCTCGTAGTGCACCCTGGGCAACGTATACTCATACGGCAAAATAGTCTATTAACCGGCAGATGACTTCTCACTTCAAACTACAATCACTTTAACTGGCAGTTGACTTCTGACTTCAAACCACCATGACCTCACTAAACTGGCAGTTGACTTCTGACTTCAAATTGCCATCACCCCAAAACCGGCAGTTGACTTCTGACTTCAAACTACCATGACCCCCTGGGTAACGTATACTCATACGGCAAAATCTATTTGTGCGCCCTGGGCAACGTATACTCATATGGCAAAAAAGTCTATTACCTTAGTCTATTACCTACGCCCTGGGCAACGTATACTCATACGGCAAAATAGTCTATTAACCGGCAGATGACTTCTCACTTCAAACTACAATCACCCCCACTGTATGTCATATTCGACCTCTTTCACAGAACTCATCTCACCCTTTCTGAGCCTTTGTGTCTGTCTGTTTCTTTTACATCTGTGAATCACTCTTCTATTCCCCCTTCCGAATTCTTTTCACATTGATTTTCCTCTTCTCCTCTGTGAAGCTAGAAGTCAGCTAAAGGGCTAATGATAACTATCAAAACGCCTGCCATTTGCTATAAAATAAATATATATATATATATTTTGAAATAAATAAATGTTATGGCATTGAGTGACTCAGCTAAATGGCTAATGATATCTATCAAAACGCCTGCCACCAACTAAAGGGCTAATGATAGCTATCAAAACGCCTGCCATACCGAAGTCAGCTAAAGGGCTAATGATAACTATCAAAACGCCTGCCATTTGCTATAAAATAAATTCGTTTTGGTGTCTAACTAAACCACTACGACATGCATCCTATCCTATCCCTAATTGGTGGAGAACCTCCCCCCCTCCCCCCAACGATGTGCAGCTTCCTTCTTAATTCCCTACTGGATTGTATTCCATTTATCAAATCATATAGGCTGCTTCTATTCCTATTTACCATCGAATAGGGTTGGCAATACCTGCTTGGTCACGCGCCTTTATCTGCTTGGCTGCCTAACTGTGAATAGCCGTATATCGGACTTCGATTTCGTGAACCATTATTAATGCATTTTTCTGAAAGGTACTACTATTTCGTTCTTCGGAGTTACCTCCATCTAATATATTCTTGTGTTAACACTAAAAATGCAGCAATTATCGTCAAACGCAGTTAAATGTGCACCATCTGGTGACTTCAGAAAAAAATAGTTGAATATTTCCTTGTTATCTCTAACTAATATACTATTTTGGATTGGCTTTTAAGAAAGGGGAGCAATAAGTCGACAGAAACCCTTCTAACGAATATTCCAATCGGAAAACGCAATACTGTCTACACTTGAGAATTGTGTTCTAAAGCTGTAAATAGTGAGACACAAGTCATTACGACTGTTCTAGCAGACGCCCCTCAGTTGTTTAGATGACCAGACGCCTTTTCGCCTTCATGCAACCCATATAAGGAAGTATTCCATGAATCACACTCATTGGAGGTTAAAATTAAACTTTTCACGAGGGGTGCGTGATGGAGTAACCTCCACGTGGTGCACCCTGCACAACGTATATCTATTAACCGGTAGTTGACTTGTGACTTCAAACCATCATCACCCCACAGTATGTCAAATTCGACTACTTCCACAGTACTCACCTCACCTCGACTATTTGTCATATTTGACCCCTTTCACAGTACTCATCTTACCTTGTCAAATTCGACTACTTCCACAGTACTCACCTCACCTTTTACTCTACCTTTCTGTCTGTCTCTTTTACGTCTGTGAATTACACTTCTGTTCCACTCCCCCCCCCCTCTCGACTTTTGTGACTTTGGTGTTTCTTCCTTCTGTGAAACCCAAAGTCAACTTAAGAGCTTATGATAGCAATCATAAAGCCTGTCATTTGATAAAAAAATATATTTGCGCAAAAATATAAGGATTAAATAATGGAAACATAATACCAGAAGACGATTTAAAATCCGGGAGCATCAAGGAACTTTAGTACAAAGAACAGGAAGTTATAGCGGGGAAAGGCATGGGTATGAATTCTGTTTATTTAAAAATGACCAATAAAACTGCATCGATAGCATTGGGTAGCATTAACTTGCCCAAACCCACTATTAAACAAATAATTGTAATACTATTGGTAGATTAGTGGATTTTAGTAACCACCCAGTTTAATGTTTCAAAGTTCAAGGAATGTACAATTGCTTTCATTGGGTGATGTTAATTGAGCATCTGCTCTGTTTTGATGGTCTATGATTGGTAATTTCATGCTTGGTCATGTACTCGCATTATAGAATAGCACCGATCCCGTTAACGAAGATACGTAAAGAAGGGGAGGGGACCAAATAAGACTGAATATCCATCAGAATCTAATGAACGTCTCTAAGCTAAGAGGATAAATGTCCTTATTCGGAGTGAAAAGGCATAGTGTTAGCAAAGCCCACGTGTACATTGGTCAGGTGGCGATAACTGATGGGCAAGGCGCTGGAAGAAGTATTTAACAAGGGGGAAGAGAAGGTAACAGAACTTCTCGAATATAAAACAGGTTGTGGTAGGTAGCTGAAGGTGAGTTTAATAGATTTCAAATGTAAAGGGAATACTGCTACTATGTTATCCTATCGTAGTCATAAAACTTCATTGAATTCAAAGGGAGGTTGGAACGCTTGTAGTGCGCGAATACTGACTCACACCTTCACGTGTCCTAGTAATTAATTGATCAATTCTCATCAACCGCCAATCAACGAACAAAATAGGCGTGATCTCTCAGCTTCCTTACTACACCCCTTTCAGGACATCCTAAGGTCTGGTGCCTCTGTCTCGCCTACCACACCCACCTCCATTTCTACACTATACATGTGACTTTGAAATTGCAGTCTTATTTGGTATGGAATGAGTCTTAGTCTACCTCGGTCGGAATCTCTAAGCAGCCTTACTGTCAAGATTAATGCAAACATTGTTGGCTGGTACAACGTCGCCTTGACACAACCGGTCTCTTTACGTTTAAGTGGAGCATTGCGCCTTAAGTTTATTCGAAATTTCATGGTAAATAGTAAATAAACATTAGTACACACAGACAGTTGATGAGATTAATTACCTACGACCATCTTCTAGTTTTAATTTTGTGGAACCTAACGGGGCAGTACGGTGTGACTCGAAGTAATTAATAAATCTGACGATTTACAAGTTTAACGGAAATAAAGAAGCCTGGGAAACACCACAAGAACTGTGAAATGAATCTGGTTAAGTGCAAATAATGATAATTGCGACGACAAATGTTTGTTTATTTCTAGCGTAAAATGGGTGGTGTAACTTAGCTAAGTGATCCTTAGTTTAGTCCTACCTAGAACTCAAATTTACTAAAACACTGGACCCAACACATTTCGAATACCTCCTATTACAGATTTGATAAGCCAGATATGAGCCGATTCGTAATATAAATAGGAACAAATGTCCAGAAATGATCTTGAGTACCTTTACCGTTTCCATTACAGAGACTCATTACCAATGTACATTATAGTAACAATTGATCAGATCCTAGAACGACAAACAACTTAGAAGGTATTTGTAATGTAGAGGTAACGGTTTGAAGCCTCATCAGGGTGTATTAGAGATCAAGAGAGCGTTGGTTTAGTCAAAAGCTGTCTTTTAATTTTGTTTCAAACGTATGAGATTAGAATGCTTCAGCATCATATAACACCTGTAATAAATCTTGCCCACTTGGAACCCACCTTTACAATTCAAGAAGAATAACTAGAGCGAAATGGCAAAAGTTGAAGGTGATTGGACAAACGGAATGAATAAAGTCTTAACCCAATTGTGTAATCATATAATGAGAATCATCATCGGCCGTTTAGAAGCAGGATTTTCAGAAACTGTTCCTTCAACTTGTACCTTAGCACACTTCAAGCCTACCCCTTCTTATATCTATTCTCAGATAAAGTGTGACTGAAACCTACAAACCTTAAGTTCAAACTTCTTAAGAGAACAAAAAGCGTGTTCAGATATGTCCACGTCAAGTTATAACACGATCTAAACCATTTTGGATGGTCAAAGATCATTATTGAAGTAAAGACTCAGTTCGCTAATAGCAGTCAGGTAAAGTCGAAGGCCACGAATTTTATAATAGGGTACCGAGCGGCTCAAGAATTTGCAAGCAGAAACACCTATTTTTACTTCGACATTCAGGGGTGTGCGATAGACTTACCTCCACGTGGTGCACCCTGAGCAACGTATACTCATACGGCAAAAAAGTATATAAACCGGTAGTTGACTTCTGACTTCAAACTGCCATGACCCCACTGTATGTCATATTCGATTACTTCCACAGTACTCACCTCACCTTTTTTCTACCGTTGTGGCTGTCTCTTTTACATCTTTGAAATACACTTTTGTTCTGCCCCACCCTTTGATGTCCCTTCCCTCTGTGAAGCCTGATGTCAATCATCATCAAAACGCCTGCCATTTGATATAATGGAACCTTATGTGTTGCACGCTCTCCTACTGTCCCATTTAAATTTATTAATTTCTATAAAAGAGGCCTTCTCGTGAACCACACTACCAAGGAAATGGAGCACTATTGAATGGTTACGTTGGAATTTACTAAGCGTAACCGATAACCAGTAGTAGCTCCAAATTTGGAACAACTAATGCAATGGATAGTACCACTTAACCTGGAATTACAACTAGAATTTAACATATTTCACTTTATATTTAAATCGAATTCGAAAGTTTAAAGGAAATAAACACGGGTATTGGAAATTGGAAGTAAATGGCTAGGAATAAATTATGGTTGTCAATCAATTTTGTTGAGAGCGAATTTTTGCCTTCTTACTCGTTGTCTTTACTCTTCTAGTAGTTTTGATAACTTTCGTTGTTGTACATGGAGCATTCACGGGTTCATGCATTTCTTCATTATCATCTTCCGGTGTGGGAAATTCGAAGTAGGACCGGGGTTTCGCAAAATTTTGACCGTCAGTGAGCTGTTTGTGCGATGCCTCAAAAGGATTCACAACAAGATTCAAGAAGGCCTTTACTAGTCTTCTATTGTCAAAGTCTGTTAGTGAAATCAAATCGGAGTTGGATTCTGCTGAAAGCTGAACTAATCCCTCTTGCCAAGAATCGTAGAACTCTTTCCAACTGAGTGGCACAAGTTCTTGTGAGGGAGGAACAAAGATGGCTTCACTCAGTGTCTGCTTGGTAACTTTTGGTCTAATAAGCCAGGAATCTGCAAGATCACCTGTTTTCCACTCAAAGAGACCATACGTTAAGGCTTCTAATGGGTTCAGCCACTGACCCTTAGAACCCCCAGGTTTTACTGACGATACTCGATACAATTTTCGTCGTACTTTACATAAAGTAAAGTCTTTCTTACAGGAAATTAGAAGTATATTCTTCGCAATTGCTTCTTCAGCTGATATCCACAGGGAGAGCATGTCATCCCAAACAACTACGAAATTTCTATTAGGTGCTCTACGGATGTAACCAGCATTCCAGGCTTCACTGAAAGTCATTTTAGTCCCATCAACAGCACTCAAATATCCAAGACCTCGGGCATTACTCCATCCAAAGGACTCCCTTTCAATAAAGACGAGAGGTCCTGCGTTATCCAAAAGATATGGTGTTGTAGCCAAACGAATATAACCCAGAGAAAAGGCTTCATCCATAGGCAATATCTTATCACGAATACTATCTATGTAATGTGGCTGACGATCAGCCAAGTGAATAAGATTCCGACGCAGGGCAAGAGAAAGAGGAAGGAAAACTCCTGTTTCCTGACTGGCCACTTCAATTTTGTTTTGCCAGGCTGGAGTTAGAAGGCGGTTGAAATCGTCGCATAACTCGTACTCGAGTAAACGAACTCGCAGGCGGAAAACTTCCAGAATTTCTCTGAAACATAATATTTAATAAAATGAAACCTTATTGAACGGTACTACTAGAGAAAAGCTGGTCTTAAAGAATAAACTCGCCTACTCACATCATTTCCACAGAAAAAACATAATTTTAAATTATTAAAAATCCAAAATAATTTTACTTGAAAAACAATGAACATTTCATAGATAACTAAATTTGAAAATAACTTACGAAATTCCGAGGGTTTTCTCAAGTAGGTACTGAATTTCCATTTCAGTAGTTTCATGTACTTCATCATCGATTTGATATATTTCTTTTTCAATTTCCAAAAATTCTTGACACCATATCTCACGTTCCTCCTTTGAATACTTGGTATTTAGGTCTTCCGTCTGTGAAAATCTGTTTTTCTTCTCGACTTGCTCCTTTCTGCTTTGGTATAATGGGGGAGAGTTCGAGACGGTCTGAGTAAATTGGTTGGAAATAGATTTGTGTGGTATAATATCATAATCTCCTTGGTAGTTCGGACGTCGTTTAATTTCTTTTAACAGACCATAAGTGCATTGATTCAGTTCTTCATCACTACATCTAGAAATGTAGCCATCAAACATATCGGAAGCTGAAATAGACCGCTGAATTCCTTGATCCCTCTTGGTCTCACGATACTCCAGATCACACGGTAGTTCAGGCATTTCTGGGATTTGCGAAACCTTGTCAACCGCCTGATCGTCGCGAGGTCCAGAAGATTTCGGTTCACGCTTGTTCCTCAATAAAGCAGCATAGTCTTCATCATGAAACGGTTTCAAGAAGGTTTCAATTTCTGGGATGATGTCCGCAGCGGTTTGAGCCGAGATGTCTCTTATTATAGATTTTACCTGTTCCTGATCCTTGGGAAGTATATGTGTTTGTAACTCCTCTTCTTCATACTCACTTAAATCGACTTCTTTCGCTTGGTTATCAATATTTGGGGATTTATTTCCAAGGAGGAGGCAGTCGCTCTTTCCTTCTGTGACCAATGTTTCGCCACTGACATTAAGAGGTAACAGACTCCATCTATGAAGACTACGATTTTCATCTAATTGGCTCAATGCACCGTCAGATATTCCTGACACTGATTGATTGCTGATTGAGTGGGTTTCATTACTACCAAATGAGTCTTCATCAAGATCATCATCGGCTTGAGGCTCACGAGTCAATGATGGCGTCGCTCTATCCATTTCAAGGAGGTTTGGACTACTTTTATGTGTAGGTGGTAAGACAAAATGTAGATAGCTGTCACTAGCGGAAGATATAGGAGATTCATCAGTATCAACCCTTCCACCAGGAAGAACTAGATATTCTGATTTTTCGTCGGATGTTAAGTTTTCAATGGTATCTGGAGCACTTTCTTCAAGTGTCAAATTTCCAGATGGTTCACTGTCGATGATTCCAGCACCATGTATGTATATTTGCGTTTGAGTAGAAGTAGAAGTGTATTCTACCAAGGATTTTCTTTGATCTGTCTGTCTGTCCCATGTTCCCGAAGGAGTGCGTTTCAGAATACTTTTAGTGGTAGAAACTGCAGAATCCCTAAGAGTAATCTTTGGTTGTTCCATTTGCATCAATAAACTCTCTCGGGAGGAAATTTCTGAGCTGGCCCCACTGAAATCATTATTGTTAAGGGATGCAACTGGACTTCGAGCTGTTTCGAATGCTTGCGTGGCTATTGATGTCGAACATTTAGATACACGTGCCAGAATAATGGTTCTTGACATGAGTCTTGGTTCATAGGAGCTAGTGATTTCTGATTCCTGTTTGCTAGTCATAGAAGACCGGATAACCTTCGTGGTAATTACTGAAACACTCTTCATATTACTTGGGGTGGGTTTACTGAAGGAAGTATCAGGATCTGATATTGAGGCTGATCGTAGTCTTTCAGACATTGAACAATCTCGTGGTCGAAGAGGAATGTAGTTCCCATTTTCTCTTATTCTATCTTCAACACTTAACCGGGTCTGAGCGGAACTTGACAACTTAGCTTTTCGACAATTCAAACACAGGTATACCGAAGGAATATCTTGATCAATATCCTTCTGAGTTATACATCCTGAGGATTTGGAGTTAGACTGTGGATTACTGATATCCGTCATCGTTGACATGCACCTAAGAATCGGAACGTCAGTTTGCGAAAAGGAACACTGATCTCGCATAGTTGATGCAAGACATTGAGAAGAGTCTTTTACAATCGTTGTTGCTTCTTCAACATGCAAGACATCACTCTTTTCAGCATCAGACACTGAATCGGCGGTTAAGCTATCATCATCGGACAACTTTCCAGCAGCTCGGAAGTTATCATAGGTTTGTGTGGAAATAGTTACACAATTTCTAGTTACATCAAGCATGAGTAAACTCGGAACATCTTCTTGTTTAAACTCCCCTTCATGTTCTCTGGTTGTTCTTTGTGATGAAACCTCTATAATGGTGATTGTAGCTATATCACGCATCTGAGTCCTTGATGGACGACTGGAATGAACTGTATCAATCTGAGCTTCTTCAATGGGTGGATACCCACCAAGAGATTCACTAGATTGAGCTCTTGCTAAACCTTCAGAGTGCAATGATACTCCATCAGAAAGATCAGCTAAGTCGTTACCTTGCTGCACTATTTTCGAAACGACATTCTCTTGTTCTTCCGTGGGAGATGATTTTGTGGGTCTCAATATAGCTAAGTAGTCCACTGATTCAAAGCCACCAGGCGGGCTGGAGGTTGACTGATCTTTGTGATATTTATCAGAGATGATTGTCATGGAACCAGTACTGTTAATTCTTGAAGATTTAACGTAGTCCGCATTGGAATGAGTTGATAATGTATTGAGAATCGAGCATGACACACCGATATCATTCTTTGAAACTTCTGGCTCTTTTCCGATTTCCGAAAATGTCTTCACGGAATCACCTCTTCCCAATTTGAATACCGTTTGAATTGCAGATCGCTTAAGTTCTGAACAATTATCTTCATGTTGATCTTGAGGGACGCTATTTTCACTAGGTTTTCCGGATATTGTTAACACAGTTAACTCAGCAATTGGATCTATCGTCAGAGTGCCAGTCGTTACTTGACGAGCAGATAGAGCATCTAAACTGCTAGATATGCTCATCTGATTCAACAAACTAATCAAACTCTCGGTCGGCTGTTCTTGGATAAGAGGTACCGAAACTTGAGAGATTGGCATGGTTGAAGTTGCGATGAGATTCGCAAATGGAAGTGGAGTTGCATTCACCTCTTTAGACTCAACTGGTTCGATGACATCTTTCCTCTTTGACTCTTCGGAGAGCAAAGTAACAGCTGGCAGCAATGCATATGAGGTCTGTGAAGAGGCGTTGGAAATTTGGCATACAGATTGAATTTCCTTATTGGTCATTTCTAGTGAATTTTTGCTTGCGTCTCTTTCATTATCGAATTCAGCGAAGACATCATGTAAAGAGTTAGATGATGGGAAGTGATATTCATCAATAGTTCTAGTATCAGGTTGTTGTGTATTAAAGGGTTGTTGGGTACTGGTTTGGATCGATGATGATTTTAGCATTCTTCTTACGACTGAAGATGATGATTCTATTCGATGAGAATCCTCAGTAGTAATAGTACCAGTAGTTATGAATTTCTGATTCTGTTCAGAAATCGAGTTTCGTAATTCGTCGTTCTTTTCGTCTTTCAAAATTGACGGGTAGATCTTTTGAATTGGAGACTGCTCGAAGTCAATGCTAATTTGAGTTTGTGTTGATGTTGATGCTGAGTTTGTCTTCATGTCCTCAGAAACCTCCTTTTGACATCTACTACATAAACTATTGACTGGAATATCTTTTTCTACTAATTCAAAATTAGAGATTGATTCAATACTTGCTTTAGTCATCACGGCCGTATGAAGCTGATGTTTCATTCCTAAGTCAGATGGCGTATTTTGATTTGATATTGAGGCAGTCAAATTCGGAGAAAGCTCGTCCGCAGTTACTTGGTCTCCCATCTGTGTTATGCTTTCTGCATCATTAGCTTCCACAATTGAATTACATAAACTCTCACCATCATCGAATGAAATTACGACACTTTGACTGAAGTCAAGTGTCTGAGTTGAAATGGACACAACAGCCCTTGATACTTCAACCATTGACATCAGATCAGAAATTTCAATCGAAGTCATCGTTGCGACTTTCTTAAATTTAGGTTGTGATTTTCCTGAATCATCAGATTCTGAATCAGAGATCCATTTGCCAATAACTTCTACCGTAGATGTATCCTTAATTGGTTTTGTTACCATGGTGCCAGTCGACGTGTTTTTACCATCTTGAGGACTATTCAGTAAACATGAACTGTTCTCTTCTACTTCCCTTTGCTCTCTTGAATCATAAATTATCAAAGCAGTACAATCTTCAATAGTAGAATAGTCATTTTCTTTAGTTCTGTGCACTTTGTAAATAGGCATTGTTGCAGATGCCATGAGATTAGTCACTGGTACTGGAGATGTATTTTCCTTTTCAGTAAACACTGGTTCAATCAAATCGTTCTTTTCTTCCTCTACTTTTTCAGGTTGGGCTTGACCAACACTATCTGGATAAGTTTCCAGCTTAGACCTGGATTGTTGTTCATCCGATTTTGCCGAAACGACACTGGCAATAGTTGAGCTGGCAGAATCCACAAGATTTTCTTTCATTCGAGGTTCATTTTTCTCAAGTTCTGTCTGGCACTCAGTGTTAAAGGTACCGGGAGAGGATTGTATCTCCACACTTACCATCGGTGCATGTGCCGTAGATTCGGCAGGAACTTCCGCAGATGGATCTTTCAATTCACCAGATACTTTAGACATTACACCGGTATCTTTAGTTTCTATAGAATCTCTATGTTTTACCTGATGCTTAACTGAAAGAGAATCAGAAGTTAACAACAAACACGATACTCCAATATCGAGTTTGGTTTCTGTAGATGCCTTTATATTTTCAGATTCCTCAGTTCTCAGATGCATCTGTATGTATGAACTTTCATTAGGAGTTATCATACTTAGATTCTCCTGAGAAACAGGACAATCATCTTGTGTCTCAGTAATGTTGTCAGGTGTTCCCGTTTCATGATTAACTTTAAATGCGTCCACTGTCATAGTTCCAGTAGATATGCTCTTTGGAGGCAGCAAGGAATCCAAACTTCCAGCTGACAAATCCCCATATCTGTTCACCAAACTTAATAAACTATCAGTTGAATCGACTCTCCGATCAAGGACTGGGGCCAGTACTGGATCAGTCGGCAATACTATGACTGCCTTGTCGGACATGGTCGAGGTTGAAATATAGATTCTAGCAGGCTCCGGAGGAAGTGAGCTCGAAGTTAGTTCTGACTGCATTTCTTTGTCTATCGCTTTCACAGAATAACTACTCTCAATATCGACGTAGACGTGATCTGAGCTGGTACAGGTTGGGGAGTTCGGTTCAATCTTGGTCCAATCTGAGGAAGTCGACACTATCGGAGGAAGTGGTGTTTGATTCCCACTAGACACTAACTTTGGAAAAGTATGAACTTCCTTGGGTAGAACGCTTTCCGACTTTAACGCAATTATGGAATTCGCAGTCTGAGTAGCTGTTTGACTGGTTACCACAGGCAAATTCCTTAAAACATAATCATTTTTGAATGAAATAGATCTGGTAGACATAACTGCTGTAGTAATGAGTTCGTGACCAGAAGTTGAAACATCGGGAACTGGAGTTGTTTCCAAATAAGATTCTTGCATTTCTTCAATGGCGATGTCATCAGACACTGCTTGAACAGACGTCGTTTGGGCATATTCAATTGGCTTTTCAAGCGAAACTGCATTTTCTGTTATAGACGTCTGACAATCAGTTGAGATCGCCATAGGCGAGCACTGCATTTCTGCGTTGACTAAAGCAACAGAAGAGGCTGATTTAATCTCTGTTCCTACAGATTCTTTAACCTTGAGAGTCGACGACACACCTCTATTGGCATTAGCTTGAAATTGCGAAGGAGAAGGGGCAGCGTCCTTTATTCGACTTTCAAACTCCCGCAATAGTACTTTTACACTTATTCGAGTTTGTGTAGAGCAAGGTACTTGTTCTACGAATGTCATTTGACATTTCTTACAAACTTGTTCTGCCGTCTCAGAGTCAGGTGCATTTGCAATGTCCTTGCCAGTTGTTACAGATGTGCAGCGGTGTTGGGGGTCATCAATTTGAGCGAAAGCTTGATCTGGTGGGATTGAAGTATATGCCTGACGGGCTTCAATCTGAATTAGTTCCATGTCATCATGGGTATTATCTTTATCTGAAACCGATTCATCAAGGAACCTTTCAGAATTCTGATCCTCATCTTGTGATTCTATTTTCGAGGGAACATCGGCAAAATAATGGTCTTTATGATGCATGGCTATTTCACCAGCCAAAATTCCAGTATCCTTCATTATCCCAGACTTGGAGCCAGTGTCTTGTCTCAGTTGAGAATTTTCTGCGAATAATATACACATAACACCGATGTCTTGTTTGAGATGATCAGACTCTTGAATATCCTCAGAAAGCTTCCTGAATTTATCCGCTTTACTTGAATCATGGAGCGTTTGTAAACCATAAATTAGATCTTGTGTCATTGTTCCGGTAGATTTCAATCCATCTTTCTCAACTAAATTCCTAGAAAGAGAGTCCAGACTAGGAGTAGAGACACTATTAACAAGAGTAGTCAATTCATTTATAGTGTCGCTTAGACTCTCTCTTGAATGGAATGACAAATTATTAGCGTTACTAGTAACAGTCTCCCTTCTAGCTGCTGTATTCCACTCTTGAATTCGTAAGATTTCATGACTGGACATAGTTGAGGACGAAACAAGGTTATTGACGACTTTCACTGGAGCCGCATGCACATTTTCCGAGACCACAGCTTCTATAGCATCCTTGGCTTCAGGCTCATTGGATGAGCTTATGAAATTCGGCGAGGGAGAAAAGGAAGTTTGAGTAAATGCATTTGAGGCCAAATAAGCAGACTGTGTTCCTTCATCAACCAATTGATACGAAAATGTACTCTCAGAATCACCTGTTCCAACATTTACAAAACCATAAAGTAGATCGTCATCTGCTGTTGAAATTGGCTCCGAAGTACCTTCAACCGCTGTTTCCGTTTCAACTGAAAGATACTGATGCACAAATGTTTGCGTTATTGAAGTTACCATTACTGGAGAGACTTGGACTCCTTTGAAGAGATTTTCATTCAATTTAATGTTTGAAAAAGAGTCTTGAGTTTCAGCTTTGATTAATTTTGGTTTTGATATCTTCTTTGTGAATGACTGAAGTAAAGATGACATAGATGATGTTGCTGTTTTACTATCATCTGGTTTAAAAGAATCGTCAGTCGGATAGTCGATTGTTTGCACTTCTTTAAAGGTCGAGACGCCGATTGTGGTATAATTGGAAATACATTCTTCTTCAATTTGTGTTGAAACAGAGACTGTGCTAAGCTTCACTGGCTTCTCAAATACGGTTTCTTCGGGTATTGATTGAACTGTCGTAGACATTAAGGGTGCTAAAGTATTCCCAGACACTTCGACAGATCTGATACTGGATTCAGTCTTCGATACTACAAAATCGTATGTCTGGCAAGCTGCATTCATCGACAAGCGCTTGGTTTGAGTTTCAATACTTGCGCACTCTGTTGCAGATTCGAGTACCCCAGTGGTTTGAATTTCGATATCGTGTGTTAAAATGGAATGCGTAGCTATAAGAGTTGAATTCTCGAACTCGGTATTACTTGATTTTTCAACAAAGAGTAAGTCCTTTGCGAAGGGAAGTATTTTAACAGGAACGGTTTGGCACTGACCATCGTAAAAGTCTGGCTTCAATGGCGGAGTTGATTCTGTGACATAGTTCTGCATATCAGGCTCTGCTTCGATAACAAACACTAACTCTGAATCGCTTAGATCTTGAAAATCAACGCCCGGTGAATTTTGTGGAGGCGGTGGCGATGAAGGCGGCGATGGGGGAATTACTTCGCCTGCTACTTCAGAATAATTTTTAGTAGATTTCATCTGAGATTCATGGGTCAATACACCTGTACTGATATTCGACTTTATAATAGATTTCGAATCAATGTCTTTCAAGTATGCGTCAACCGAAACCCCCTTAATAACAACCTTGGATTTTGTTGACTGCATAGCGCTAGATACTTGAGAGATTGAAAACGAAGGCATAACAGCAGTGGAAATAGATTTCTCTGTGGGTTCAACAGCATCCTCCGGTACCTGAAGGCCAAACTCAATCAAACTTGAGGAGTTCATCACTGACGTTTGAGATTCGATATGAGAAGTAGTGGGAATTGCTTGAATTTCAACATCAGTAGTCTCAACAGCAGATTTGACAATAACATTGGGGTGATCAACAGAAGGCGCAATAACCATGGAGGTCATTGCTGATGAGCAGCTAGTTTGAACACTTAATGAAGCTCGAGAATACGACTCTACATTCGACTGCGCCTGCTGTATTAGCACTTCCTCAATCGGATCTTCATCAAATCCATCTTCATGCATTGATTCTTGACTTAGTGGTGAGTCCGATTCAGAAATAGCATCATTTAGTTGACTCTCGTCTGGTTGGGTTTGTGTTGAGTTTGAAGTGCAAACCGCAGTCACCACTGATGGAGTCTGTACAGTCTGGCAAGCTCCGCAAACGAGCACTTTGGCCTCAGGTACAAACTCTACACTAGCATGTCCAAGCTGTTCATCCTCCGGTATCTGAAGGCCAAACTCAATCAAACTTGAAGAGTTCATCACTGACGTTTGAGATTCGATATGAGAAGTAGTGGGAATTGCTTGAATTTCAACATCAGTAGTCTCAACAGCAGATTTGACAATAACATTGGGGTGATCAACAGAAGGCGCAATAACCATGGAGGTCATTGCTGATGAGCAGCTAGTTTGAACACTTAATGAAGCTCGAGAATACGACTCTACATTCGACTGCGCCTGCTGTATTAGCACTTCCTCAATCGGATCTTCATCAAATCCATCTTCATGCATTGATTCTTGACTTAGTGGTGAGTCCGATTCAGAAATAGCATCATTTAGTTGACTCTCGTCTGGTTGGGTTTGTGTTGAGTTTGAAGTGCAAACCGCAGTCACCACTGATGGAGTCTGTACAGTCTGGCAAGCTCCGCAAACGAGCACTTTGGCCTCAGGTACAAACTCTACACTAGCATGTCCAAGCTGTTCATCCTCCAGCTTTACTATAGCTGTACGCACCTTTTGGGATCGTAATAGAGCTCTGTAGTCCTGTGACAGGAACTTTACCGGTACATAACCAAATTCTCTGTCCTTATATTGATCCTCAGGTGCAACAGCCTGCAGACCAGTAGACCTTAGTCTTATTAATGGATTTTCGCTTTCTTCCAGATGGACTATAGAATCCTGGTCACCACTCGAAGCGGACTCAAGAGCCGATAACTGACACAACATTCCGATATCGTGTTTGTCTTTCGGACTCTCCCCTCTTAACTCCGATTCTGCCAATTGAGTCCTCGATTGCTCGATCGGGGCCTCGGTTTCTGATAGGCTACTTGTATTTGCAGCAACTACACTTATGGTTACCGTTGACATGGGTGTATCACTGATTTGATCTTCAGTCATAGTGGATGCGGATATGCCCTGCTTAGACATCTGTGACGCAATGGCACATAACGTTGCCGAGTCAACAAGTCGTCGGATTTGGGTCTTCTCCACTGGACTACTAGGTCGCGCAACCTGGTAGCCAGACATCGTGGATGCGGTCGAGATTCTGGGTGTTGGTGTTACAGGGGCGTGCAATTTTTCAGACACAACTTGTTCAATCGAATCCTTCGCCTCGAATTGATCCTGCTTTTGTGTTTCTACAGACAACATACGATACGAAGATTGAGAAGGTGAATCGGAACACTGGGTGGCGGAATCAATCTGTCTAGTGGGAGATTTCGATGACTGATCACTGACAAAGTCTGTGGGGCCGAAGTCCGCATATACATGTCCCAGTTCATCTGAGGAGCTTACTTCTGATCGCTCATCTTTAACTTCCACAGCTGTTTGGCTTTCTGTGCAAACTGTGCGTGCACTAACCTGAACTTCCTTTGTCTTAACTTCCTCCCTCCTGTCAAGTGTTGCAAAACTCGATTTCTGAACGCTTTCCTGAGCAACCATTTCAATCAACGGTAGCACTGTTTTAACACTCTCATCTTGTACATTAAGTGATTTAGAATATACTTTTTCGTCCATAGTCTGTACACCAGTGCATGAGTTATGCTTTTGATGTGAGATTATCTTTTCATGGTAATTACAAATAGTCAAAGGTGACATTGAAGCAGTTGAAATTAATTTGCTGGGCCTAAGAGGACTACTGGAAGTAGGTTCAGATTTTGTTACTCTGATTGAATTTTCTTCCTCCTTTAGAGACAGGAATTCTGCAGTATCGGTTTGAGAATTTCCATCGACATGTTTGAACGCAATTTGAGCTTTTGCAAGCTTCAATATTTGTGGTGACATTGGAGTCGTACTGTGCTCAACACATTTGGTTGTCGTTGTTCCCGATTTCTTCTTGGATTCAAAATTAGAATCGTCTGAATCGGATTGTGATGTTGAAGGTGAAGAACGTGCCGGTAGGTTAGAAAGATTACTATATTCTTGGGAATCGGACATTACAACGTTCAGCTGTGTTCCTGTTGAAAATCTGATATCTTCGTCAGGATATGAAGCCTCATTAATAAAGTCTTGCATCTCTGTTGCATGGTCTGTAAGAACGTTTGAACTGAGTAGAAATTCCTGTTGTGATATCGCCAGCAAACAGCCATCTTGTGATGTCGATTTCTGTTGGGAATTTTCGCTCCTAGTGCTTAATTCTTCATCAAGTAGTCTTTGCTGAATTTGTAGTGTTGACATAACTGAGGTAGACGCCATACACTGGCTGGAATCAAGCCTATTCTCGCCTGTGCTTAATGGAACTGAGTAAACTTCCATTGCCTCGGTGGATTCAATAGCATCCTCCGGAATCTGAAGGCCAAACTCAATCAAACTTGAGGAGTTCATCACTGACGTTTGAGATTCGATATGAGAAGTAGTGGGAATTGCTTGAATTTCAACATCAGTAGTCTCAACAGCAGATTTGACAATAACATTGGGGTGATCAACAGAAGGCGCAATAACCATGGAGGTCATTGCTGATGAGCAGCTAGTTTGAACACTTAATGAAGCTCGAGAATACGACTCTACATTCGACTGCGCCTGCTGTATTAGCACTTCCTCAATCGGATCTTCATCAAATCCATCTTCATGCATTGATTCTTGACTTAGTGGTGAGTCCGATTCAGAAATAGCATCATTTAGTTGACTCTCGTCTGGTTGGGTT